ATGGGATAAAGAGAGTATAACTATATAGTTATATGCTGTAATAGTACTGTATATATATATATACACACACACACACACACACATATATACACACACACATATGACATACTCCGTGTGTGTATTATAATGTTTACAACATTGTACTACGTCCAAAGTATATAACAATAATAACAGTACATCACAATAATGACAAAAATAAAAAGGAACTGTGCATCTTTAGATACAATCTCACCTCAGGCTGTCTTTAAATTAGTTTTCTATTCCCGTTACCAAATTGCTTTAGAGAACAGGGTACCTGGAAAATTAGGTTTCGAATGAAACCAACCATGACGAATGTAGGAGATGGTTATTACAGAAAATAGGAAATGAAGAACATACGGGGGGAGAGCTTACCAAGCTTACATCTTCACCATTTTTTACTCGCTCTCAGCCATCAAGACAAATAGTTCTTCATCCGTGATTGCACCCATTTCCATGGTTCTTTCAAGAATACTGAACCCCCCAGCATCCCTAATTGATGAACGGGCCCCTCTGGATAACATGCATGTTCATAAGTGTTGATACATAGGCTTTTTCTACAACTACTTTTATACATGTGTGGTTGCTGTAAAAAAGTTCATTGCTAATCTAACTTGTGAAATCTTATTGTATATGACCAACGCGCCTTAGAAGGAACATGTGTCATCATCGCCGCAAATCGAGGGCTCAGACCCATAGGCTACCAACACGTGCAGACTGTTCATTTATTATACATATAAGGGCTGTTGTAAGGGTTGCTAAATACATTTACTAATTTCTGTGTCTAACCTTTCCCCCCCAACTTCTCTCAAAAATTATTAGTGGTGTTCGGATAAGTTATTGATCTATCTCAGTTACTAACGCCACAGATTAGAGAAAAAATCACATGCATTATGTCAAGTGTGTAATTGGATGATGATGCTGGTTGAATGTTCATATGATATGGATAGAAGATTACCTTCTAAGCAAAAATTTTGCCAATTGATTATTCCCCGATGAGATGCAATGGTGCAGAGCAGTTCTTCCATGCAAGTCACGCCTGTTTATATCCGCACCGAATTGCAGCAGCAGTTCAACAATTACAGGATTATCAGAGTGGCATGCTTGATGCAGTAATGAACAGCCTTGAAGACACAGCTTGATATTCTCACAGGCTGCTGGATCACATTGTTTCTTTTCAGAATCTTGAAATTCAAGCTCTGAAAAATCATGAAACAGCGTCGCACCAGCCACTTCATCATAAGTGGCATTTATTACATTTACATCTGAGGTCACAATGATTCGATATACTTCCTTGGAACGGTTTGCTTTCACAGCATCCCAGATGCTATTGATGACATCATTCTTGTTATATGCTAGAGCTCCTTTGTTGATAAACAGCTTTTCAACATACTGGACCACAAAAGGCCTAAATTAATGTCTTAGGACAAATGTAAGTGTGCATCTCTCTAAGTGTGCCAATCAAAAGCACACTTGCGTGCACAGTTACATGCCCTTTCTTTAAGTCTTCCATATCATAATTTGGACAGTGCATACTGTGAAGATACAATAATGATAACAAGACCTCTGTAAGTATTGCATTCTACTAAAGAGATCTTGAGATTGAGAGTTCGTTTAAACAAGGGTGAAACCAAGATTCATTGGTTTTGAAATCAAGGATTCCCAAATCCATTGAAGATACAAAAGAAATGAGTAGCAACATAAATAAAAAGGAGTTCTTGCATCAGCCATAAACAAACCCTATCAGTTATTTAAAGATTCTGAACACATCAACTAAGAGATACAGCATGGGTAGAATATCAAGAATCATATTCCTAGAAAAGATGTGCACCTTTGCCATGATGAACTTCTCCTTTTTGTGAAAAGCATCTGTGGAGTTCGGTTTCGAAACAGAAAGAATACTTTTTGTCCTGAATGGATGGTAGTTTAGAGACAGAAGGACAGGACAAAAGTAGTAATTTCTTCAAAGTTGAAAATGCTATGCTTTTCATTCAACCAATGCACTACTTATACAGAACTCTACATAATAGGCAAGTTAGCAGCTAGTATTGTGTAAGAATGGAATTACATATCCGTTACAAAATAATAATTAAAAGTTGTCTAGTGCTATACCGGTTGGAAGTTTTGACCAGAATGTGTTACTACCTCCATCCCTCTAACATTGGGACAAGAGGGAGTGGAGTGGTGCAGTTATTAAGAAAAGTGAAATTGTTTGGTTGATATTGAATTGATTTGAATTGATAAAGTGTGAGTAAAGTAAGAATGAATTGTAACCACCAAAATATTGCCAAATAAGGTATGGAACAAACTTATTGGGACGGACAAAAAAGTAAAAATGGGACAAAGATAGGGGAAGGATGGAGTATGATATATGTTACTTGTTTCCTTATTCTCTTTTAGCAGAACTAGTGGGATTAAATTTCTTTTGTTTTCTTAGAGCCAAGGTAGTCAAAGTTGAGAGCTTCAGCACTTAAGTGCACCAGGCGCAGCGCAATAGAGGTCCAGCGCTTGAAAGATGACCAGGCGCACTCCTGTCTCAGCCGCAGCTTAGGTGCATAAAGTGCAGAAGCGCCGAAGCGAGAAAAGCGCACGCTTTAGTCGCCTGGGCTGGGAAAGGTTTGTCAGCCTATTTTTTTTTTGTTTGATCCTATCTTAAATAATAAGCCCATACTAATAATAAGATTTAGCCCGTCCAAATAATAGGTAAACACAACTTAAACCCATATTAAACCATACTTAGTCGTGGGAAAAGTCTTTGGCAACATGCACAGCGCTAAAACACATTCAACGAAGCCATAAGGTGTCGTCTTCTTCATCTTCCCACGTTCTTTCTTTTTCAGGTTGTAGTTTTCATTTATCTTGTCATCTTCTTTGTGATCCTTTCATTTTGTTCTTTCAGTCTATCTTGTTTCTTACTTTTGGTTCTTTTTGCTTCTAATATATGCTATACAACTCAAACATAATATATGTACCTGACCTACCAGTTTACATGTGAACAACATATTATTTCATCTTAATATACCAGTCTATAACTCTATCTTCCTAGTATCATTTCATATTTTAACTGTATAAAAACTTCATACAATCTAACTCAGTCAATAGTTTCATACACTATATGATTTATGCTATTCCTAGTGCTAAAATTGCAAAATAAACAAAGACATACCCCACTCAGTGTTTTGTTTTTGTGAATCATGACATTATTTTGGTGAATCATGACTTTATTTTTAGACACATGAAATTTTGATGCATTTAGTTCAATATGGTGTTGAGTATGTCAAATTGGATCACTCTAGAATAGTATACATAATATTTTCTAAATAGTGCGCTTCACCCGAGTCAGGCGAGCGCTTTTTTGCGCCTTGTGCCTCAGGCGATAGAAGAACTCTAGCGCCTTAAGCGCGCCTCGCGACTTAGAGCTTTAGTTATAGTCAGTTAAGTTTGTTACGACTTAACCAACTCTATATAAACTTGTAATAGCCGCTTCAGATAATAATACAATAATCATCAATAATACAATAATCATTTCTTCTCAATCCCTCTTATCTTTCTAATACGAAGTATATGGTATCAGAGCTCTAGCTCGATCCATCAATGGCGATCTCCAATGACACTTCTCATACTTCTTCCGGAAACTCCGGAAATTCCGGTACTCCGGTGACCTTCGCACATCCTCTTCCAATCAAACTTCACAAAAACAATTTTCTCTTCTGGAAACACCATGTTGAGTCTGTTGTTCGAGCACACAAATTACTTCGCTTCATCGTGAAACCAAATATTTCAAAACAGTTCAACACTGACGATGACAAAGCAAGTGGGAACAACAAGATCAGATGTTGTTCTCGTGGTTACTTGCTTCGCTTTCCGAATCTCTTCACGCTCTAGTAATTCACTGCAGACACTCTCATCAACTCTGGAGCGAAATCAACAATTTCTTCCAATCGCACATCATCGCGAAGGCCAGACAACTCAAATCTAAGTTATATAACACATCTAAAAGTGATCGCTCAATCTCTGAGTATCCTCTGCGTATTCAAACAATAGTTGATAATCTTCTATCGATCGGAGAGCCTATTTCTGTTAAGGATCATATTAAAGTTGTACTTGAAGGTTTACCTGAGGAATATGAGTCTCTAGCTTTCTCTATTTCAGCACGAAGTATTCTTGATCCTTCTACTTTGTCTGAAGTAGAATCTCTTCTAACTGTTAAGGAAATGCGATTGAAGAAACTTCATGATTCAACACAGTCCACTATATTTTCTGCAAATGTAGCTCGTCTGGAATCATCAACCTCAAATAATCCTGCAAATACCACTCATGTACCTGAATCTTCTTCAGAAAGTCGTTTTATTCAGGTTGCACAATTCCATACTCCAAATAATAATGATTCATACAAAGGCAGAGACCGTGGAGGTTCTATGAGAGGTCGTGGTGGTAGATTTGGTGGTCGCAGGTCAGTAATGTGTTACGATTTAACTCACACAACACGAATAACAATATGAAAGAACACACGAAGTTTGGTAACCTAGTTCGCCACAAATGACTACGTCTGGGAGCGCTACCAAGCCAGGATATCGCTATTAATTTCGGATCAATGATTACAAGGAGAGAGCTTGTATTTATAGAGAGTAAAATCTAACCCCAAAGCAACTAGGACGAGCGGCCCAAATCAGTACAGAAACTCGCGGCTCATCAGAAACGGACCCAAAAAATTTCCCACGAAAACAGGATTGGTTATACAGTCTCTAACACCTTACAATCTCCACCTTGAGACTGACTTCTTCAAATCTTCCCTTTTTAGCATGGTAACTACCGCCCCTGGACCCCGTGGGGGCTACCGCCCCCTGACCCCAGTTGGATCGACGAAAACAGGATTGGTTATACAGTCTCTAACACCATACATAATATGCCAATTCTGTGGCAAACCTGGCCATCATGCTCTAATTTGCTACCATCGTTTTAATCCTTCATATCCTAGCTCCTCTCAATCCCCTTGGAATCAGAATCAGTATTCTTCTCCTCCAAATTCTCAGCACTATTCTTCTATTCAAAATCTACCAACAACCTCTTATAGAGCAGCTTTGTTTTAAAATCCTTCAACTTATTTTGATCTCAAACAGATTGATTCTAACTATTTTGATCAAACAACAAAAAACTAATATTCTTCGTTAGTGATACAATTTATGATAACTAAAAATTATTTTAAATGTATTAAAAATTAACTAATATTTTATTTGTGACTACATTATAGTTATATGATTGGATGCTTTTGGTGGACTCACTATTGAGCTGCAATCACTCGTAAAACACATAGATGGCCACTGTTGTACGTGGCTATGAGTGTAATTGGAGCATTTTTCAGTTTGTAAGTAGTAGTACTCGAGCAAATTACAAATTACATAAGATTTTGACTGCTTCAATTAAAATACTAATCAAATCTATTTTTTCATTTTTTTTAGATTCATACAAAAAATAGCAGGTTGGAGCATAAGAGGTTGAATGACTTGGTTTTTATTCAACATGATCGTAAGATTCCGGAAACAGTCTTCATGTTCTTTAGTACAGGGGTAAGGCTGCGTACATCCGACATCCCCCTACCCCACCATAGGTGGGAGCCTTTGCAGTACTAAGGTAATGATAATGATGATGATGATCCTAAGATAGCAACTAGATTTTAGAAGCGGCGTAAAGAACGAGCTTCAACTCATTGATAATTGAAGAGTTCCAACTGGACAATAAATGAGTCAACAACGATGTTGTTCATCCCGATGATGATCTTTTATGGAATCGAGCTAATGAAGCTATGAGTGCATCAAGCAATCTTGAGGGTTGTGATCTTCTAGAACTAGTAGCTCTTGCGGGAAACCAATTTATTATCGACACCATAATTCGAATTCATCATTACGGTTGATTGACAAAGACATGAACAATGAAGAAGATGATTTTCCAAATGATGATGAAGATGTTGAAGATGACTATGGCCAAACATCACTTACTCCCTACTCGTGATGATGATGATGATGATCAAGGCAATGAAGGTCGTGGAGATGATTTAAACCTTGATGATTTTTTATAACTTAATAGTCTGAAAGATTCTCTCACCGAACAATCTCGAATCATCTGTAACGAGGCCACCATTACTGATTTGAAGTCATCCGACATAAATAGAAGAAAAGGTTAGCAGCAGCGATTTCAGGAAGAGGCGATTAGCAGCGATTATCAGCGAGGGTAGCTCTCAATGGTTATTTGCGGAGGTGGTGGGGGTGGAGGAGCTAGCAATGAGCAATGTTTAGATTCCGAGCGGATCTTATATTTCTAAAAAACGGGTACCCGACCCAGACCATTTTTTAATAAAAAAGTATATTTTGTATATTTAATTAATATACTAAATTAGTAAAATCTAAACACTAAAATATTAAATATGAAATAACGCCTTTCAGCTTCAACGTTGTCTGCTACTCTGCTAGACCTAAAATCATCTTCGACATAGAGGCAAGACCGCCAAGGAAGAGACAGTCGTCGATGCAAAGGCCGCACTGCCAGAGAGGAAGAGTCGATCGTCGACACAGAGGACAAAGGCGTCGATTGTCTTCCGTCAACGAAGAGGCGGCTGTCGAACGTCACCTTTCAGCTTCGACGCAGTTACTAAGTACGAACTACGAACAAGGCTCCAGCTTTCCATATCCAGATTCCATGTTTTGAATTTCTATTATTTTATCTCAATAGTTTCAATTAGATTAGTTGTTACCATGGTTTAAAAAGGCGCTTACAGGGCGCGCCTTGAGGCGTATAGAGAAGGTATCAAGGCTTACAGCCTGTTTGGATTGGGTGTTAGGAGGTGTTAGTAATGGAAGTGTTGAGGGGTGTTTAGTTTAACACCTGTTTGGGAAAAAAATCAACAAAATTCTGA